CACAACCACCACCACCACCACCACCACCACCACCACTACTACTACTACTACTACTACTAGCACCACCACCACCACCTCTGGGACGACGTCCGGCGTCCACGCAGTCTGTCCAGTTGTGTGTGTTTGTGTGGAGTGGCGGACTGTTTGACTAAGAGTGAGGTAACAGCAGCCCCTTCATAACGTTACCTCTGACACTCACGCATGTGAACAATGTGTGTTCACATGGCTACTCACTCTCAGTCGACGACTGACTGATTACCCGGCTTTTCAAGGGTGATGATCGAGGTAAATAGTGTACTCTGTTTCACTCGTCTGACCTTCATATCTGTAAGCGTCTGCTATGCCATGATCAGAAAACCATGGTCCTCGCAACCTTGTATTCGCTGGCAGTTCTCTGACACCTGGTTCCTTGCCGGTAGATGCGCTTGCGCTCCTGTTATGTATACGCGTCGTAAGCATGACTGCCCAGACATCCTCGTCGTCTTTTTGATCCGTTGTTTTGCTGTTGTTGGTAAAAATCCTGACCAAGTGGTTCTTGTGGACCAGAGGGTATGGTGGTACGCCTAGGTGCAGCCCCGGCCGTGCCAGCCACCACGCCCTCTCTCGCCTCCAGTTTTCTTAACTCTGTCTTGACACCGGGCCCCGGTCGGGGGTAGGGGAGAGTGCGGTAGATGCTGCGTAAGTCTACGCTCATAATGAACTAATTTACGCGCAAAACACTGTGCCTACTTCACCTTTCTGTGGAGTACACGGCGAACATCGTGGTTTACGACAGTCGAACTGTCATGTGTTTTTGTTTGTGTAAGTCATAAAAACTAGTGCTTAGCCGAACATAACTTTTAAAATCGGGCAGTCTTAAGTCGAGCGCAATAAAAATCTAAATTGGATGAAGAACCTGTGAAGTCAGGGTAGATTCCTTAATGGGAACGTTGGGTATACACTTGACGGCAAAAATTAAGCCTAATCGTTTTGGACTTTATTTATGAGTCTGAATATATTTGATTTTGGTGCAGTGTGAGTTTAGCGGGAAAGTGTTTTATTAAATAAGCGACGTCAATTATAGTCCGGACGCATGGATGTATTTACATATTTGTTAAGTTAATATGGCATTTGGCACGCTTAGAAGACAACGCGTTCCAGCTGATCTCAAAAAGTCGTCCATACTCAAGATTATATCATGTTACTTTTCTCTGGCCTTTTCATTAAGTAAGTCCATGATGAGATTTCCCTTCTCTACGAGATAACGCAAAAGTGCTTGATGCTTAAACACAGGACAGATTATGGCTTTCGTATTGCCTGTTATATGTCCATATTGGAACGTGGTCCTGTCATTAGCCGGGACTGAACGGTCGTTCACCGGACCATCGTACCGTCAATAATGACAAAGTCTTTTCGGTCCTGTTTGAGTGATGCGCCGCGCAATTTTGGCGAAATATTTGTCATTTTCGCGCAAAAAGCACGAAAGACGCACGTATTTGTCCCTTTTACCAAGGCCTGCTGCTTCGACGGTACATACCCGTTAGATTCGCACATTGCACCTCGCGAGCTGTGAACCTGAACTTGGTTAAATCT